CCTCCCGGCCCCCCCCCCCCCTCCATTTGAATATAACAATAACAAAATTGAATAATAAATGAGCTGCAATGCTGCCATCTAGTGGCCTTCAGATACTAAACTATTTTTAGGGCACATCATTGGGCCAGGCATTGCGTTATTGGGTTTTCATTATCGGAGAAAAAAAAACAAAAACGATTACTTAATAACTATATAACAATGCTAATATATGTCCGATATATATGTCATATATTAATATTAAAAACAAAGTTTGCTCTAAGCTCCACAGGCAGGTTTGCCTTTCTTTCTGGTGTAATAACAGAATTAAATTATTTTTCTCCAAAGCTGGGCTGATACTTTGGTGTAACGGTGGGGGGCGGGGGGGCTGTGGGTGCTGGAGATTGCCCTTTTTAAAGCCTGCAGACTTTTTAAGCCTGCACACGATGGGATTACACTCCAGCACAGACGTGTTACCACCTTTTTGTTCCTGTTTGTTTCCTTTGCAACAAAACATGTGAGGTGGAAATCACCTTAAAATAAAAACGTCTTTAACGGCGCCTAGCGCTGCACAGAAACGTCCCTGTCGGCCAAACTGTTCATCTGCGTCACAGCTCTTAATATTTGCAGAGGAATTTTCCCTCTTTGGCTCGGAGACTAAACCGATTTCTGCAGAGAAACATGAATATTTGATTTTGTGCCTTTTTCTTTGTGTGTGTGTGTGTGGTTGAGGGCTTCATTGTTTTCTCACTTCATCACAACACTGTTCCTCTCTGCAGCAGATCTACAGTCGTACACTAAACTGAATGTCTCTGTGGTGTGTGTGTGTGTTAGTGTGTGTTCTGTGCTGCAGTTTGTTTTGGATATAAAGCGTCAGCAGATGAAAAAAACAAACAAAAAAACCAAAGTGGTGTGAAGAGGGGCCAGGCGTCTCCTTTTTCTTGGGTGATCTCTGAAAGGGAGACGGCGCCTCCACTCAGCAGCTGTTAAGTGTTCCGAGTTTTTTCAGGGACGACAGGGAGCAGCTTCAGTTTCCCTCCTCACTGATGACATCAGTTTGATGTTCTCGTGTGAGGAGCCCCAAGAAGAAGGAGCTGCTGTTTGTCAGTGTCTATTTGTTCAACTATATATAAATATATACTGTACAGAACAGCAGAGTTTCTCAAAGGTTTTTGTGCCGCGGCATAAAACAGTCATTAGAAAAAAAAAACCACGGCGCACCAGCAAACAAACGTCTCACAAAAAGTATCTGTAATGAAATATAATGATTTTCTAGTTTAGATGAACTCATAATTGACTAAAATCTCAGCCTGTTTAGTTGAAGAAAACCTGATAAACTGGCAGGAATTGAACAAAAACACAAAGATCTTCAACAGACCTGATTATCTTTTTTTAGTTTTCACAGCCATTTGCTGCCCCCTAGTGGACGGGTATTTAATTGCTCTGCCTGGAACACTGACAAACAACAAACAGGTGTAAAAAGTGATAGAAATGTCTCTTCCACGCACTTCTGTTATTTTTTATTTTATGTCTTTAAAAATAGAACTTTTTGGTCCTGGTCCATGACAAAACTACACTCAGACAGAATTGTAGAGTTGAGGATGAATCTCTCTCTCTCTCTCTCTCTCTAAATGTAGAATTGAGGATGGATCTCTCTCTCTCTCTCTCTCGCTCTCTCTCTGTTTATGAAATACATCATGGACTATAGTATTGCAGTAGATCAAATAGTATCCGGTGGTTTAACTGGCTGTGGACAGATCAAACACATCAACGTACATTTGTATTGACGTCAGTGCTCCAAAAATGCCATTTCGTCAGAGTCGTGAACATCAGCTGATAAATGGTGGATAAACATGGTGTTGTTTATGGAAATTGGTTTCTAAAGATAAATACGGAACAGGAATGAAAGAATGCTTTTATTATATAAAAAAATGTCATTTTTAGTTCTTTACCAAACACGAAGAGGAACTCATGAATATGTTAACAGTTTGGAGACAATTCCGTGACTCGTCCCTGATGACGTCACCGTCAGGATTAGAGGAAACATCTTTGTAAACCTGCTGATGTATTTGTTGGTGAGAAACAACAGAACACACAACAAAGGGAAATACATGTAAATGTATTCATGCACTTGAGACACCGACGCTGCGCTGGTGTCAGATCCAGAATGAACCGAACAGGTGACGTTCCAGCAGGTGTCAGTAGTAAAGTCAGACTTTAACACATCTAATCATTAATGCCTCAGCAGTGACACCGATCTGGTCAGTGCACAGGGCAGTACTTCAACTGTGACATGTTTGTTATTTTAACACTGACAGCCACTAGAGGGCACTCTAGCTGGCTGGTGCGACTTATCCTCCGAAATGACTTCTGGAAGTGCCTTCAGCTCCCCCTGCTGCCTTGAGAAGGATGTCACCATTTAAGTCAACTTAAGTACTGGTTATTTGGCCTGCTACGTCCAGTTTAAGATAAAAAAAACTGCGATCTACGGGAAAGTGAGACAAACTGTCTGCATCAAACTCCTAAGAAACCATCAGTGGAAAAACAAAAATCCAACAAATTAAAGTTTTAATATGAAGAAAAGAAAGAGACAGAGGATGGTTAAAGGCAGCGTGATTTGAGCTCCAGCTACTGGTCGATTCTTTTAAGAGTGCTTATAATGGAGCATCAGCAGTGGACCAATCAGCTCGCAGGATCACATGCATCAATCTCACCTGGTGTATATCTAATATAGAAATAGAAGAATAGAAGAACGACCCCTGGGATCAACACGCTACCCTTTGATTTAATCGGACTTTACGACGACACGTGAACGACACTCTGCGCCTGTCGTTCAAGGCTCATTTATTACCGACATGTAATCAGTCTTCCCCGCCGCGGCGAATGTCCCCCTGAGGACAAGCCCCCCCCCCAACCCACCCACCTCCAATAAAAATAAAATTTCATTTCATTTCTTGGCTATTAATTCCTAGAAGTCTTGTGTGTTGATGAGGGGTCACTCCAGGTCGTGGTTTTTCCTCCCTCTTTTTTTGCCTGTTTTGTTTTTTGATTGCTTTTTTTTTTTAATCTCAGAACAGCCTCGAGTCGAATAACAATCATTTCTGGAGCAATTAAAAGATTCTGATGAATAACATGCTGTCATTAAATATATCATAACATTTACTCGCAGTTTTAACTTGTCTACAGTGCAGTCAGGTAATCTACACTCAGACATTTTCCCCAAGAGACTAAAAGAGAGAAAAAAAACACAGTTTCCTGGTACAGTGATTGACACATGTATTATAGAGTCTCCCGGGAGAGAATGCTAGTGTTCTATATTTAGAGGGAAGTGGGAGGACAGGGAGGAGCCGGGTCTTCACCAGCTTCTTGAAGATAGGCTGGGGACGTCCCTCTTCTGGTAGTTCTCGGTACGTCGCTCCACCAGTGTGGAAGGACACGTCAAAACTGTCTTGACCTAAATAATCAATAAATAATTATTAAAGAATAAGAGTAATTAAAATGAAGCTTCCTGCATAGTTAACACAGACAGAAGAACAGAAAGTGAGCGGAGCTTTTCATTTAAAAATACTGTCTTTGTGGTGAGGTGTGAAGTCCTCGTCTGTGAAAGTTAAAGGTTAAATTCCTTTTATCGCGATAGAAGAAATCTCACTGTTAGTCTTGCTCCTGTCTTTGTTTCCGATGTGTGGTTGCCGGTTTCGACATCTTATCGAGTACAGGAATTTGAATGAAAAATCAGACTCAATACTGCAGTAGTATGACTTCAAAATGATGGTTCAACCAACATTTATGTTTTCACAGATTAAAAAAAAAATTA